CAGAGAGCGCGCTGGGCGAAGAGGGGTCGGCGGCCCGCGGAGACAGGGCTGGGATTCCTGTTTGGGGAGCGGCCGGCTGCCAGGCCCCTTGCCCTACTGCTTCTCCGGAGCGCCATTGACCATAGGCCCGTACAGGCCGCCGCCATAGGTTGGCTCCTTGTGCACCGCCGCAGCAGCGGCGGCCGAGCGGTCACGCATGAGATCGCTGAAGGCGTAGTCCATCGGCGGGCGGAAGCCGAGCGTGGGCACCAGGCCGGCAGTGGAGTAGGGAGCCATGAAGGCCAAACCCCGACTGTGCGCCGCCGCCGCGGAGTAGGCCAGGCGCAGCGGACTGAGGCCGAGCGGCGCGCCCAGCGGGTAGGCGCCCGCTTCGGCACCGAAGTGACTGGCGTTGGGCTGCAGTGGCGAGAAGGCTGAGCGGCTGCTCAGCGATCCCAGCGCTCCAGGCGCCATGGCGCCGGCCAGCAAGGGTCTGTGGTGTGGGGGTGCGGCGGGCCCGGCCTGCAGCGGAGCGGGCAGCCCAGGACCCCCGCTGGCGGCGGCGTCGACGCGGCCGGGCCACGCATCGTCTGCAGCTGCTGCAGCACCCACGGCGGCCTTATCCGGGGGCGCCGCAGGGCCCAGGCCAGCAGCCAGGCCCCCACGGTGGTGGTTCAGCACCTGCTCGATGGCCTGCACCACGTCGCCGCCGCAGCCCTGCAACACCAGCTCCAGGACGCCTCGCCGGTGGCCCGGGAAGACGCGTGTCAAGATGTCCAGCGGCGTCCGCTGCCGTGGACCCGAGCCTCCGCCCAGCCCCGGCGCCGGCGCGGCCTCACCCTCTTCTTTGTCAGCCTCTGAACCGGATTCAGAGCCCAGAGGGCTAGCGGAGCCCGGGCTGTCCTCCTCGCCGCCACCGCCACCAGGACCGGCGCTGCCTGGGCAGCTGCCACCTGCCTCTTTGGAGGCCCGAGCTAGGGGCGAACCCGAAAAGGACTCGCCGTCACCGTTCTCCGAGCCTGAGCCGGGCCGCACCTCTGGGGACGACGTCCCAGGCCCCGAGTCTGCGCCGTCGGGTGATAAGGGCTTCACCGGCGGCGGCTGCGGGCTGCCCGGGCGACCTGCCTGAAGCAGCGTCTTGGGAAACAGGTCAAACTTCTGCAACTTGGCCTCTGGGAGGGGAGAAAACGTGTCGTGAGGAGCGGTTAGCTAGAAGACAGCAGTCACAGCACCTCGGCCCTTTGGATCTCAGTTTCCTCTCCCTCAGCCCCACAGCCCTTATTCACTAGGCTCCAGTGCTCCCCTTTCTTTTTGCTCTAGCATTCCTTCCGCTCTGAGCCCCTACAGCCTTGTCTCTCTTTCCCTGACCCCAGGGCTCCCTCTCTTTCTGTACTCCTCAGAACCCCAACTACCTGTGCCCTGTAAACTTGATATTCAGTGCTGCTTTCCCCCACATCTGTGCCCCAACACATCCACCTTTAACTTCCTTTCCAGGCCTGCCCTGCCCTGGAGAAATGGCCAGGTCCAGGGTTCAAACAAGAGACAACATAACTTCTGCCTATACCACGCTGTACAGAAGAGCCCACTGTACAGAAGATGCCTGCCCTGGCAGTGCAGCCTGTAAGGAAAAGCGCCTTGGTTATCTAGGAGGTCCCAACCTTCTCTACAGGCAGAAGTAGAGCCCCTATTTCTAATCCACTCTTTCCAAAATTGAGACCTAAGAAGTTCTTCCCTCCCAAGTTTAGAGCGGATCCTTCCTTTCCCTCAATGGCCCTGGTCTAATTTCTTTCCTCCCCACAAAAAGCCACGGGGGTCCAGAAAAAGAGGGTGGGGCTAGGCAGGGTGTAGGAAGCGAAGAGGAAAAGATATAGGAAAAAAGACCTGAGAAACCAGGGAGGGTGCGGCAGAAGCTAGAAGGAGGGACGGCGCAGCAAGCGGTTGTCCAGAGCATTAGGAATGCGAGAAGGGGAAAAGAAACTAGGGCGTCTCACTTCCTAGGGAAAGCAATGGGGCGGGTGTCAGTTAAAAGAGGGGAGGGATTCCTTAAGAGAGTTGGGAAGGAGCAAAGGGAAAGGGCCTGTGGAGAAGCACGGAGGGAACGAAGATGCGCAGGTTTCCACCTGGGTAGAAGACGAAGCAAAGAAGCAGGGACCTGCCTGCCTTTGGGTAGAGGCGAGTGAAAAAATTAAAGCGTGTCCGTTTGGGCCGGCTGCAGGAGAAAGGGGTAAAGTGCAAATGCTACAGAAGCGGGAGGAAGGAGAGTTTCTGTATCCACGCTCCATACCCGAGGCTGGGCGAGCGGTGAATCCTAGCAGTCGGGGCGACTGGACACGGGGTTTCTACTCTTTCTGAACGGAGACAAGCCCCTGGGCCAGGCGCCCCAGAGCTACGATCCTGCTGCCCCTACCTGCGGCCTGGCCGCGCTCTCACCTGAACCGCCTGCGCCAGCTGCTCCGCCTCCGGTCCCCGCGGGCGCTCCCGCTCCGGGTCCCCCGCCGTCGGCGGCGCACACTGAACCGAAGACCTCGTAGGCGGGCCTCGGGGGGATGATGCCGTTGGCTGCGGCCAGCGCCAGCCCCTCGGCAGTACCGTAGAGCAGCTGCAGCTCGCGCGCCTCGTTCTCCTCCTGCGCCTGCTGCCTGCGCAGCGCCACCTGCGCCGCCATGACACGCTGGCGCTCCGCGATGAGCGTGCACTTGGCGCACAGGCAGTCCTTCCAGCGACAGTAGCGTTTGTGGCCCTTGAGTGCAGACACCACGCCATGGTTGCGACAGCGCGCGCACTTGGGGGTCCGCGGGTACTTCTCGGCTGCCCGCAGCAACAGTGGCGGCCCCCGCAGCAAGCCGCCTGCCACGCTTACCGGTAGCGATGCGGCGGCTGCCGCGGCGGCCGCCACCGACGCCACCGACGCCACGGGCGGCCCAGTCGCTGTAGCCGCCGCTGCCGTCGCCGCGCCGGGCACGCTGGGCAGCTCCGAGCGCAGCTCCATGACAGGACCTGACCGGAAAGAAGGTGGGAGAGGGGAGAGACCGGGTGAGGAGCACACCGCGCACTAGGCCAAAGCGCAGCCTTGAGGAACCCAAGTTGGAGAGGGATATTTGGGCCACGGAGGCTGGGCTAGCGGGGCCAGAATTGCTGGGAGGAGGTACAGTCGGAACCTCCTTGTGAGCCCTAGCGCCTTCACCCCAGTCCAGCCACTGCTGCTCTTAGACCTGATTTACACGCTGGGGTTAAGATTTTGTCTGAATCAGTAATTCTGCTGGAAAAAATAAAGAGACATGTAAAGTGTGAAAGTCACTGATTCAGGTGGTTGTAATGAGGATTTGGAAAAGTTAAGATGATACCCTAAAGCTTAGCCTAATTGAGGTGAGACGGGTGAGAAAAATGTTCGTTTGACAGGACTGGGATTAGAGCCACAGTTTTGGCCCAGAACTTAGGCCGATGCCAAGGGCAAAACAGGAAAATCCGGAGCAAAACGGCCAGTCTGGCGGAAGGGTGAAGAGGAGAGAGATGTGAAGGAGCAGAGTTGAGCTGGTTGGGCCCGAGTTTTGTTTCTTTTTGTTTGTTTATTTTTAATGCAGGTGGGGGCAGAAGCTTTGGAGAGAAAAATCAGCAACAGAAAGAATAGCTTTAGGAAGTAGAATGGGGGCGAAGAAACAATTCGTGCAAAGTTAGGCCCAGTGGCTCTGGGACCGGTAAAAATGTGAGCCCCAAAAGTTCCACGGTGCGGGCCTCCAGAGAGGGGGAGAGAAAATGTGTGTGGAGTTTAGTTTAGGACTGGGAAGTATTAAAGAGAAAAATTCGGCCAAAGAAACTTTCTGTATAGGCAAACCCAGCCCAAAGATGAGCTTCATGGGCAAGGAAAACAGCGAAAAGCAGCTGATCTGGGTGTCCGGGATCCAGGGTCCGCGCCCAGGAGAGGGGAATGTGTAAGTAAAAAACTCCACAGGCAAAGGCTGGGGGAGAGGATTGGGTAAAACCTGCGGTGCAATTTTTTAGCTTCGCAGTCTGGAGTAGTAGTCGGGGCGGAAGACGTATCCTGCGGAAAGTTAGGCATTTCGGGAGGGGGATCTTTCTCGAACACCACCTCACACTGCCCTCCCCTCCCCTCCGGGTTTAGGAACAGAGTCGTCAGACACACCCTCCCCGTCTTGGGGTCCCAGGGGACCCCGATCGAGCGCAGGCTCCTGCGTCCTGATCTCAGAGTTGGGGTCCTAGGACGCGGATGGCCCAGCGGGCCGCACCAAGCCAGAGAAGTCGCCTTCGCAACTGGCCATAAACGGATACCAGAGTCCCACCCGCGCCGCAGCCCCACAAGGCCCAAGCAGGCCCAGCTCCCCGCTTCTGCCGCAGTCTCCTCTGCTTCCCGTGTTCCCCGTCCCTGCCAGAGCCCGGGACAGAGTCCTTGTGTCTCCATCCGAGAGTCCCAGACCTCCTCTCTATGAGCGTTGCCTCCTCTCCCAGACCCCTCGGGCCGCGCCGTCCCTAAGCCCACGGGGCCCAGGCCTCCTCAACAGGGGCCGCAGACCAGGTCGCCACCCCCTGCTGTCCCTGCGGCTCTCAACTACCTGCCTTGGGTTCCGGGATCCTCCTCCGCTGGCGCTGCACGCGCCTCCCGGCTCCACTGGCGACGCTGGCGCTCTTGGCCTCTTCCCTTTGCCCCCGGCCCCTTATCTGACCACGTCACCCTCCTTCAGTCACCATGTCCGAACTTCCGGACCCCTCAGAACGTAGCGCAGTCCAACCCTTCCTTCAGAGATCCGGGTCGGAGGCTCCTCTGCCGGCCGCCTGGTTGGAACCCGCAACCTGACTCTCGCAGTGCCGAGTCCCCTCGCTGAGCGCGCTGGACGCTGCGCGCAGCCGGGGCCCAGTTGCCCCGCACTGCCAGACTCTCAATGAGAGGCTCGCCCGCTCTATTGTTGCTCCTTAGGGCTCCATTAGACAGAATTGGACAACAATGTGGCGCCTGCCATTGGCCAGGGGAGGCAGACGGCACTCTGATTGGCCGGGCCCGCGCCCGGGGAGCCCCGCATTCTACAGTGTCCGAAAGATTCGAAACTCCAAAAGCTCCACTGTGTGCTCCGGGAGGGGAGGGGGTGCGCCAGGAAAGGAGTGGAAAAAAGTGGGCGAGGAGGAGCGTTGAAACTTTCGTGACAAGTAGTTTCCGTGCGCCCGAGAGCGTGTGAATTGCTCCTAATTACCGTGTCCGGTGCGCCTCTCTGCGTAGACTTGTGTAACCCCTCGGCTTCTGGGGCGCCGACTCGGCTGCGCCGCTCTCACTGGCCGGGGGCGCTTGGCAAAGCTGAGCTTCCCAAGTGGCCCTGGAGCCCTGGGGCGGGATGGGGGGCAGGTGACAATTCAATTACTGCGGTCGGGGTGGGGGCGGGACAGGGGTGCGGGGGTGGGGAAGGGAGGGTGTTCAAGGCATAAATGCCAGGACGATTTTTCCTGCCTTCTTCCTGCTACGTTTCGGCGCGCTCCCAAGTCGGACGAGTTTGGGGTAGTTGAGGGCTGCTTTGGTTTTTTCCTCCTGTCACCTTTAAAGTTCAGTTATTTTGTTTTGAAAGTCCTGATACGATAGTCATCCTGGAGGGTAAGTGTGGTTTATGAAGATTTTCGTGTTTAAAGAGAAGCTCAGCGAAGAGAAACGAGATTGCGCTTCCTGTCGGTGCCCGCCGCATCCGCATCCCTCGCGCCCTGAGCCTTTCCTCTCCCTGCCCCTCTTTCGCGTCCCTCGGCCCCTTTTGCTCTTTCTTTTCCTCATTTTTCAGCATCTCGGTTTCTTTTCCTTGGTGATGGGATTCTTTTTGTCTTTATTGTAAATGAACAAACAGCCCCCCTCCTTTTTTTGTTTCTTTTCTAAACGAAAGTAAAAAGTGGCCTCTGTGTCTCCGCAGCTTCTTTTAGACTCAGGACGCGCATCGGTCTGTCCGACCTTCCCCGCAAGAGACAAAGTGACTGCTGGGAGGCCCCCGCGGACAGTTTTCAGTTTTAACTTTCGCCTTATTCTTATCCTGTCCTGATGTCACGGCCCTGAGGAACAGCTCATTCTGAAGAAGAGGTAACAGGTTTCAGATTTTGTTTCCTTTTTGAAAGGCAACATCTGGAATTAATGCCGCGGCCCTCGGGCGGGTCGCCCTCGGTTCTTGTAGCTCTACCTCTGTCTTTTCATTCTGTTTTTCCCTCTAATATCTAATGTTCTATCACTCTCGTTTTTGTTCTCTACTTTTCTCTCTCTCCTTCAGAGTAAAGAAAATTCGTTTAAATAATGAGGAAAATGAGCGTTCCTGGCATTCTCCGTCCACTCTTGACCGTGCGTCTCCGCGTTACTCTTTCGAACCTCCAGGCCGGCGGGAATCTGGGCGCGTAGATTCGGCCGGGGCCGTCGCGGCCTCAGGACGCAGCCCTCCCGCCTGGCACGACTACTGGGCCGCGCCCTGTCAGTCTATCCGCTTCTGAGCCCAGGGCTGGGGTTGGGGGAAAGAAGGTGCGACCAACGGGCCCCCACCCGAAGACCGCAGAACCTGGCGCCCCGGGAGAGCCTTGGAAGAAGCCCACCCGGAGGCTGAGGCTGGAGGGAAAAGGGGATGGGGATGATGCGCTCGAGGACCGGGCGGAGAGCTTCCAGAAAGTTCACCAGGCCCCGGCGCGAGGGCGCTCTGACACGAACAAGGTCTATGATAGCGATAAAAACCTGGTCACTAGCTCCCAGAAAATGCCACTTGCTGGAGTCTGTGAATGGGTTTAGGAGAGAGAAGGGTGTCAGCCCCCGCGAGGGTCTCCCGCGTGAAGCGAGGATAAGGGGGTGCTTCAGGGATAATATGTCCTCTAGGAGCGCAGGACCCAGACCCCACCTTCCAACACCTGGAGGTTCCGAGGCCAAGTACGTCTAGTAGCCCCGGCTGCACCTGGGGAGGAGAGCCATGAGGTTGGGGGAAGAGCGCCGACCACCGCCGGATTCCGCGCCGGGGCCGTCAGGTGCCTTCTCCCAGAGCTCCTTTGGACAAAGTTTTCGGGAAATTATATTAAACCGAAAACGAAATAAACTATATAAATCTGCCTAGCTTTTCGGGGGGGCGGTGGCCCAGGTATCCTTCGCGCTTGAGGCCAGGTCACCGTGAGATTTCCCCACTCCGGACGGGGGATTCCTCAGAAGCCAAGGGTGTAACCACGAGGACTCGGGAACCCGAGGCGGCCCCACAGATGCGTGAGGAACTTCATTTTCTAAGGAGTGGGAGGAGGAGCATCCTGGCATCTAATACAGCCCAACCAGAGGGAATCCGCCCACCCCTAGTGGAGGAACCTCTCTCTTCTCTCGCCCCTCTTTCCTGGCATTCACATCTCCACAGGTCTGGGACCCACAGCCTTTTCTCCCACTCCCCGGAGGTTAGGGTTTTCATGTGAGTGAATGTGTTATGGAGGGAGGCAAAATAAACCCCAGGTCATCTCACCCACACTTTGACCAGGCAGGAATCCTCTGCCCAGCTTCCCAGGCCACTCCAGGGCCAGTTCCTCCTGATTTGAATTGGGTCGGTCGAAGGGGAAAGGAAAGGCATGGCCGAACTGAGCCGTCAGCACGAGAAGAGCACGCTCAGGTTGAGTCAGCAGGGTCTACCCGCTCCCCAGCCTGAGTGTAGCTTCACACTTGGACACACCCCCTCCCCCGTGCGTGTGACCACTCTCTGCAAAGTATGGGACACACTGTCACGCCAGCATTCAGAGAGCACCACGGGGCCCAGGCTCAACTCTGATACTACCCTCCAACCCAAGGGGACCCCTTCAGTGAATTTGACCTCAGTGTTCTCATAAGCATGTCCCCATCCTGGGACATCCACTCGATGTGTGACGTTCCCAGACTCCCACAGATTTCCACATCGGTGACAGCACACGCCGACAGGAGCACATCCTCACGCACGTATGCCCTGGTTTATGCGCGGAGCCCCAGCCTTACTTCTACAGTTGGGCCCCAGGCAGAAAAAGCCACAGCCTTCCAGGACAAATGAGGCGGCTGAGAGCAGAGGGTCTTCCTCACACATTCACACGCGTACTCTTAGCTCAGAATCATTTGCTGACGCCTCTGCTGTGCCAGGGGCTGGGGGTCCGGGTGAGAGGGCCCGGCCAAGAAAATACACCCCATCCCTATTCGCCCCTGGCCCCATCCCCCACGCCCACGCCCAGGCACTGGTGGCGTCCAAAGGGACTGCGCTGGGATGAGGCCGGGGTTGAGGGCCTAGGGCGTAGAGCCGGCTGTAGGCGCGGCGTGGGGAAGGGCGCCGAGGGTGAGTAGTGTAACTCTGAGTAGAAGAGCCAGGGGCGCCGATGGGGGACCCGGGAGGCACTGACTTTTGCGCTGTTTGCCCGCGGCCTCGGAGCAAGCAGACGCCATCTGTTTGCCGGCTGCGACGCGTCCCGTTTAATTACCCTCCCGGCAGCCTAATAGAGATGATATTAAACTAAATCTTTCTGACATTAAAAGTAATTATCCCCAAACCGGTGGCTCCGGGACGGAATGGCCCCTCCCGCACCCACCCCTTCCCTGGCTGTGCCGGATTCCGTTAGTTTGGCTGATACTCTCCGCCCGGGAATGGGGCGCAGAAGAAAGGGGGAACGTGCTTTTGGGAGAAGGAGTCTCCACGGGTTGCCTGACACGCGTTTTCCCGCAAACTACACTCTCCTGTTCCTATGTGGACACAAGCACGTGTACACACAGACACGTAGCGATATTTTCCTCCAGATCAACTCATGAGTCACGCTGATTAAGACCCTCAGCCGCGCACACCCTCTGTGAACAGGGAGACGCGCAGCTTGGTTTCCTGTCCCGTCCTCTGACACCGCTAAAATGGTCATTTTCCATGGTCATAGCCACGGATCTATGCCAGGACCGGGGACCGGGCATAATTTCGGAGCCAGAAAGAACTCCTATGGTGGCGCCGGGTTTCTCAGGCGCTGTTCCAGCTAAGGGCCAGGCGCCCAGCAATTTCTCTACAGTTGCTTACTGAAGTCGCACCACTCTCTGCGAGGCAGGTCCGATTATTCCACTTGTCAGGTGAGAGACTTGGAGCGGTGAGATGACTTGTTCCACATATCACAATTAGTGCGTAACAGAGCAAAAATCAAACCCGGGAGTACCCTCATCCAACGCCGGGTCAAGGCACCCCTCCACACCCGTTGGCCGAGAACCCTTTGGTGCTCAGCTTCTTCCCGGGCCCTGGACCTAAAGGCTGGGCCGAACAGCCAACTGAAGGTGGAGGAGAGAGGGCACTGGCTCTGAGTGAGCGGCAGGAGGCCCCGAGGCGGAGCCCCAGCGGCTGCAGCCCTCCTTTGGATCAAGCCCTCGCGTCTGCGGGGCAGGCGAAAGGGAGGCGTCTGCCCAGTGTCGCCAGGCTCCTCAGGATTTTCTGGTTGGGAGCATCTAAGCCTGAGACAAACGCGTGGAGAGTGGTGTTCACCGCCCCACTATTTGTTTCTATTTGTGAGCGCCTACTGAGTACAGCCACTCTGCTAAACACTTGGTGTGTGCTGTCTTGCTTGCCACGCAGTCCATGGGGGAAGATGCGATGGTCCACGTTTCAGACACAAGGTAGCCAAAGTTCAGCAAGGCGACACAACTTGCCTGGGGCCAGAGTGCTGCCGAACTTCGAAAAAGACAGAAATCCAGATCCAACTCCCACTCTCAGGTTTTTTTCTCCTCACCTTCCATGGCGGGGGGGTGGGTAGGATCAGACCTAGGAGCTTCCATTTGGTTCGGTTTCATTCAGTTCACTGATCGTTCACAGAAACATGAAAGTAAGAGTCATTCATTCATTCATTCATTCATTCATTCGTTTATGTAACAGCATTTGTTGAGCATCTAGTATGTGCCAAGCTCTGTGGATCCGAGACAAATCAACCATAATGGGCCCTTACAGAACTTGTTAGCCAACTGGGGACACAGTCCCCTATCAGTGACCTCACAGTGAGAAGTCTAATCTTGGGAATGGGGGAAGGAGGATGAGGGGAAGCTTCCCGAAGAAAGGGACCTCTGATGGTTAGGTTTCCCAAAGGGAAACACTGTTATTGCTTGTTCTGATAGAATAAAAGTCTTATAAAACATTTTAGAAAATTCAGCAAAATATATTTGGTGAATTTTGCTATTTTTTTCCCTGTCTACCCACACTGACAAAAACATACTTTACAGTACTTGTTTTTTGTTTACAATTATAAGGATTTTAATATTAATCTACCTACATAAGCTTTTAAAATGATTGTTTAATGTTCCATTGCATGGATCCATCTTTCTTTAGCCATTTCCCTGTTAATAGGTATTTTGTTTGTTTCGAGTTTTTGCTCTAATAAATATTGCTACCACAAACATCTTTTGTGCATTTGCCTAATTATTTACCTAGGATAAATTCCTAAAAATAAGATGGATTGGCCAGAAGCTTTTTACATTTTTTAAGGCTTTTGATAGCTATCAAATAGCCCACAGGAAAGGTATCAATGAACACACTCAATAGAAGGACATCTTGCTGATATTTTAAATCTTTGCCAATTCAAACAAGAAAAATAGTGTATCATTGTTATAATTTGCATTTCCTTAGTTATTCCTTACTTTTTCCTAAATGGGTCGGTCAGTTGAGGTGTTTTAAAAATTATTTATATACATCATTTCCTTATTTTTCAACCATAGAGCTTCTATTTTCCTTAATTTGTAATCGTAATTTATATATCAAAGACAATAGTATCTTCTGTTTGCAACATGTGCTGTTTCCTCACGTTTTTGTGGCTGTCTTGCTATTGTTACACTGGAGTTTTAAAACGTTTATGTAGACCAAAGTTTATATTTTCTTTGTAGACTCTATTTACAGTTGTATATGTAAGGATTTGTATATGTAAGGATTTGGAGATTCTATTTACAGTTGTATATGTAAGGATTTCTCAAATCAAACCTTCTAAAAGCATTGGCCTATATTTGTATTATCTCTTTTTTCATTATTTACATTTATATCTTTAGTTTATTGGAAATTAATTTTGATGGAAGGTGTGGTTTGTAGCTTAATTTTCCCCAATGATTAGCTATTTATCACAGCCCTCTTCAATGAACCATTTCCCCTACTGACCATATGCTATAGACCAAATTCTCAGGTGGCTGTAGGTTGGTATCAGCATATTCTCTTCAAGGGAGCTGTTTACTCTTGCACTAGCCTCACTATTTTAATTATTGCAGTTCTGTAGTATTTGGGAGGGCAAGTCATCCTTCTGATTTTTCTTTTTTCCACATTCTCATGGCTATTTTCAAAATACAGGCTTCTGAATAAATATTTTAGGAATTTTAAAGCTACTTCCAAAAAAATAGAGTAAAAAATATTGTCGGGGGGGGATTTAAGTACCTTTAGAAATTAATTTGAGGGAGATTGTGCATCTTCACAATGTGAGACAATTCCATCTAGGACTTGGTGTGACGTTATCATGACTTTTATGTCTCTTGATAACTGCTGTCACTTTTTCTCAACAATTGTGTTTCTTAAATTCCTCCCCTCCGTATTTTATGTAGCTATTGTGAATGGAATCTTTTCACCCATTACAGCATCTAACCGGTTATGACAGGAGCATAAGAAAGTTACTGATAATAGTATATTTATCTTGGAACCCGCCTCCTTTGTGACCTCTCTCCCATTAACAATTTTTAAGTTAGTTTTTACAGTCTTCCCACCCAGCTGAGTTTGGGAGGACCCGGAAATGACCAGGAGGAGGGAGGGAGGAGGATGTACACAGTGATTTGTAGGTCTTCCTGGGGCATTGCGGATGGTGTGCACCGGCTACGTGGTCTTCTTTGTGCCATCCTTCTCCTGGTTTCCATCTTCCAAGAGGACCCCTCGAAATAGCGATTCTGAGACTCGGCTCCGGGGCTGGTGAGCCATCCAGATACGGAGCTTCCGCAGCGCTGTGTGACCGTTAGCGAGTCGCCAGCCCTCTCTGGGCTCGCCTCCCGGCCACCCCGGAGTCAGGCTGCCTGGAGGATAGCGCAGCCAGGCCACTACAGGTGGAGAAAGGAGACTGTAGACAGGAGGGGCATTCGAGCTGGTTCCTGGGCCGAGTCAGCCTGGGTTTGAGTCCAGACTCCCTCCCTCCGCAGTGCAGCGAGTGACCTTGGGCAGCCAGGTACTCCCAGCCTATTCCCAGCCTGTAACCTTCGGGTCACCCACCAAACTGGAGATAAGGGGAACAGGTCTGGGAGGGGGAAGCCTAATACACACACACACACACACACACACACACACACACACACACACACACACACACCTGTTGGCGGCTTTCCTTCTACTCGGACTTCTTCCCCCAACCTTCACATTTCATGGTAAAGTAAAACTTTCATTGGGTCATTGTGAGGACTCAATAATGCAATTCATGTAAAGTCCTTCTCATTGCCTGACATACAGTAAACATTCAATAAGTGCTGGATACTATAATTTATTAGGCAGTTACTGAATGAGTGAATCCCTCTCTGCCTTCAGTCCGGAGAGGAACAGTTCCCTTCTCAGCACCCTTCTGCCTTCATGAGAAGGAAGACTGGGGAGCTGGGAGCCAGCAATAGGAGGTGCCTAGTCAGGTGCTTCTGATTTTGAACCCTATTCTTAAAACTCCCTTCAGAACCAGAATTCTGGAAGATTTGCATGGCCCAGACTCTTCACTGGCCTGGGATACTCAAAATCCCAGAGAGAGTCTGGGCCATCTCCTTCCCTAGGTCACTTCACCCACTCCACCTACCACCCTCTCCAGAGGCTCCATTAACCGGAACGTGTTTGCCACATGGCACAAAGCGGTACTGCCCCAGTAAATAGGGAGATGCACAGCCCCGGGCCTGCCCCAAGCCTCTATGGGAAGTGCACCTGCTCTCCTTGACCTCATCTCTTCTCAGGATCTCCACTCTTTGGGGCACACGCTGGCACTGCTGGTTCCTAGTGGGGCTCCCCAAAGGCAGCGGCTGGGCTCCATGCCCCCATAACACAGTACCACTTTTATTGCAGAGAATGTGTTCTTCTCTCTGAGCCCCTGACCTCCTGCAACATGTAAAAGATGCATACAATGCACAGTTGGAAGAAACCAAGGTGTGCAAGTGATAGCTGCACAAACTAGTTCCTCACTGATGCTTGCTTTGGTTAAAGGCATGCCAGAATGGAGGCCGTGGCAAGTCACTTCACTGCTCTAAGCCTGTTTCTCCATCTATAGAATGAGGAAAGATAGACCTACTGCATCTGGAAATGATCTGAAATGAGACAAGCAGACACAGGAAGATTATGATTCTTGTGTGAGATGCTCAGCTGAGCCCTTGGTGCCCATCTCTGGGAATATACAAGTTCCCAGCTGCCCACCTGACCCCCAAATCAGAGAAGTTTCAGTAAGACTCTCCTTGTTGTCTCCTCAGAAGTCCTATACAAATGTTACCAGTGTGTAAAGCAGGTAACATTTCCAGGAGTCTGGAGATCTTCTCCCAGAAGGGCAAGCTCCATTCTGATCCTGTAGGATGCCTCCTTTTTCTAATTCCAGGATCTCAGATTACCAGGTTCCCAGATGGGGTTTACTAATCCCCAGAAGCCTTTCTGAAGCCCAGACTGGGGGCCTCCTCTGGGTTCCCATAGCTCCTGGAACTCTTTCAGTACCACCCTGAAATTGGTGGCCCCAACCCGCTCCAGCTTGGAAGTTCTGGGTCAAAGGTAGAAGCTGAGGATCCGGTGTTTAACTAAAGACCTCAACAATGAATGGATGAGTCAAAGCTAACCTGCTCTCCATAAGGCAAAGGTACTTTGGTATTTAAATGCTGGTTTGCCAGAAATGCATGGTGGGAAAAATATTTGCTTTGGAGATAGACAGGCTCACTCATGGGTCATGGATATGTCATATAGTAGTTATGAGACTTTGGGCAAATGATTTAACTGCTCTAAGCCTCAGTTTATCAATGTATGAAACAGGTACGGTATGATCCACCTCATAGGGTAGTTTTGGAGTTCATTCATTCATGTAACACTTACTGTCTGTGCCCTGTGTCGGGTCCCATGAAGATGGACCTGTCAGGGTCTAGAGAGGGAGACTTCTGTACAAATAATCACAATAATGTGATAACTGCTCTGCTAGGGGCAAAGAAAGGGACTAGAAGAGGCCTTTGACTTGTCCTGGGGGTTCAGGAGCCTTCCTGGAGAAATAGCGAAGTTTAGTACTATCCTGAACTCTGGAGCCAAATTGCCTGTGCTTGAACCCTGGCTCTTTGGTTTACTAGCTTTGTGAATGTGGGCAAATTACCACTTGTGCCTCATTTTGCTCACAAATAAGGTGAGGATAATAGCTCCTTCTTTATAAGGTTGTTGTGAGGAGTGAATGAGTTAATACAAATAAATCTCATAGTGACTGGCATACAATAAACATGATATAAATGATATATGTATTCACTATATTATCAATAGGTACTTATCAAGCACCTGCGCAGGGTCAGACCTGTGATGAGGATAAGACAAGTCAGACTGACCCTACTCTCACGGAGTTTAGACCTTACGCAAAATCGGAGCCGAGTCTCAAAGTACAAATTGCCTCTTATCTAAGGAGAGTTTGAGAGAAGAGCAGCGAACTGAGGAAGGAACTCAGGGGCTGCTGACGTTTAATAGGCAGGCAGAAAACCCTACAAAAGAGACAGAGAAGGATCTTTCAGGGAGGTGAGAAGAAAGTGAGTGCAGTGCAGTATCCTAGAAAGCAAGGGGGGTGGGAGTGTGTGAGGATTTTTATTATACTCTACTCTCTGTGTGTTAGAAGTTCTACCACTGAAGCATCTCAGGAATGGGGACCTCATCAATGAGGGAAAAACGCAAGCATGAGCTTTGGGCATAGATCCAGAGTAGAAGCCCAACTCCTCTCCCTACTACCTGTGTCTCTGAGACAAGTGACCCAATCTCTCTGAATGTTTTCTTAGCTGTAAAGTAAGGATAATAATAGTATCAACCTCACAGAATAATTCTGAGGATGGCATGGGAGGACAGAGTATATTAAGACCCTAGCATTGTGCTGGGCTCACCTAGGTACTCAAAACCAATTCCTTTACTCTTTTTCTTTCCTTAGCAGCTCCAGTTGTTTTTGCTTCAGCTCCAATTAATGGCTTCAGTAACCATTGGGTGTGTGACTGTTATGTGCCAGACCCTGGGCTGACTCTGGGAATAAACAGATGATTAAGATCTGGTCTCTGCCCTCTCAATGTTCCCACATGAGTTGGATACTAGAGATGGAAGTGGCCATCTAATTAGTACATGGATGCCATTATTTATAAATTCAGTTAATAAATCCAAATGTACTGTGTGCTTTTTATGTACTAGCCATTTTACTAGGCTT